GGGAAGGGGGGGAAAAAAGAGAGGAAACAGAGAGGAGGCAGAGGGAGGAGGAGAAAGGGGGACAAAGGGAGGGAGAGGGGTGCATATAGAACAAACGGAGAAACTTTGAACGGGAACGGGATGAAGGGAGAAAGGGGTTGGGGATGGTGCGGGGCGAGAAGGGGAGGAGGGGGGGGCGGGTCAGTGGGAGAGGATTACGACAGAAGACGGAGAAGAGATGAAGAAAGGAGAACCATGAGAGATTCATAAGACGGGGGCAGAGGAGGGAGAAGAGAAAGCGAAAGAAAAAAAAAAAAGGAAGCAGTAGCCTGAACAACATAATTGGTTGAACGAAGAGTAAAGGAATAGTGAAAAGTAACAGCAGGAGGATGCAGAGAAGGAAAAAGAAGAAGAGAGAAATTTTGGTTATTGCTGCCACGCCGCAATTTCTTCTTGGTATGATTGAGAAACCCCTCCTAGTGTGAGCAAAGCATGTATTGTTCCCAGAAGCTGGATCCCATAACTTAAGAAGGAGGGCTCATATGGCTGAGTCTTAAAGCATACGCACACTTACGCACACTACCACCACTCAACTTTTTCAATTCACTCTTACGCACGCTACCTACCGTCCGGCTGAAAAAAAAGAAGAAAGAAAAAGACAAGGCTACGACCTTGAAATATCATCATCATCATTTGAACTGACCGCCCCAGGTAATTCAGAATCGCAGTACTTCAATTATCTGCTTCCAATGGAGTTCGTACTCAGGTCTGTGTTTCAACAGTTGCAGCGATGAAATTCAGACCAAGGGTGTACCAAGTGTACCAATTACGAAGGATTCTCACCCTAATTGCAGTCCTGCACTATTGTAGATCCTACTACGAAGCTCAAGGATTCTCACCCTTGTGTAGGCCATCAACAGTTGTGTAGGCCCGTTGGGTCCATCCAGCTTTGTCAATTGAAGCTCAAGGATTCTCACCCTAATTGCAGTCCTACAGTACCGTAGATCCTACTACGAAGTGTCCGATTGACACGTGGCAAAACGATCCAAGGGATGCGTGTGTGTGCAATCCATTGGGGTTGGGGCGTCTATTGGTCTATACGATGACGGAGCCTACGATTCAGCAACGTCTTTAACAATCTGCAAAAATGGAGTATTTCCAAAATTGTGGATGCATTGGATTCAATTCAATCTCACCCTAATTACAGTCGTACACTAGCGTAGATCGTACTACGTAGACTTATGTTGACATGTGGCAGTACAAAATCCATGGGTGGGTGTGCAATCCATTGGTCCGTTAATTGGTCGACCATGATGGACCTCTCAATTCAGCAAGGACTTTAACAATTCGTAGAAATCAAGTAGTTCCAAAATTGTGGATTCATTAGATTACAATTGTTTTTGGAAAACGTAAAAAAAAAGGTTTTTGTTTTACAATTTACCAATTTTGTTGTTATGGAATTTATAGTAATAATAGCGTTAATATTCAAAAATTCATCGCAAATTTGTAAATCTCAAACATCCAACAACCATCCTGAGCTAATCCATCCAACGATT